GTTATAATCCTGTTTCATGGTTTAACTCTCTCTCCCCTAAAAATCCACTGCAGAGGCTTTTATTGATTCCAAGGTCAAAGGAAACTATATTCAGCAACGAAACAGGAATTCTATTGAGTAAAAGAAAAGAAATTCATTCATATAGTGTCTTCTATGACTTGCGGACCTTCTAAAGCACCTGACAGCCAAGTGAAGTTGTTTGGAAGTGTAATGAACTAGTGAAATTTTGTACACAGCAAACTTCTACCAACAACATAAACATCTATTCACATGATCTACCATCAGAAATTCCTGGAAACACTCGGCAGATGAGACAGTATCTGATGAGAGCTGAAGGCCTCTCATCAGAACTGAGGGAACATAGGAATTCAAGAGGTTCTTTGCAAGCCTACAAACAGGATATGGCCAAAGGGGCAAAGCTGTGGCAGATGGATTTTAATTCAAGCAAGTGCAAGATTATCCATTTCAGAATGAAAACAGGTTAGTTTAGGGTATTTTTAGAAGGCACAAAGTTGAATACAGTGGCCGGCCAATGAATTTTGAGGGTTCTGGTGCATAGCTCTTTAAATTGCCATGAACAGGTAGAAAAAGTAGTCAAGGTGGCTAACGAAATGCTGGCCTTCATATCTAAAGGGCCGGAGTATGGACATTATGCTGCAGTTACAAAAAACACTGGTCGAGCCCCACTTAGCGTACTGTGAGCAGATCTGGGCACCACACCTTACGAAGGATGTATTGGCCCGAGAGGGAGTTCAACACAGGTTTACAAGGATGATACCTGGACTTCAGGGTTTAAGTTGTGAGGACAGATTCCTTTTCATTTGTTAATGGGAGGAGGACATCACTGGCTAGGTGGCATTTATTGTCCATCCCTAATTGCCCAGAGGGCAGTTCAGAGTCAACCACATTGCTGTGGGTCTGGAATCACGTGTAGGCCAGACCAGGTAAGGATGGCAGTTTCCTTCCCTACAGGACATTAGTGAACCAGATGGTTTTTTTCCCCCAACAATCGGCAATGGATTCATGGTCATCATTAGATTCTTAATTCCAGACTTTTTTTTTTATTGAATTCAAATCCCACCATCTGCCGTGGCGGGATTCAAACCCAGGTCCCCAGAATGTTGTCCAGGTCCCTGTATTAGAAGTCCAGCGATAATACCACTAGGCTATTGCTTCCCCGTAGACAAATTAGGCCTTTATTCTCTAAAATTTAGAAGGTCATGGGATGGTCTAAACGAGGTCTTCAGGATATTAAAAGGGATAGACAGGGTAGATAAAGATAAACCATTTCCACTAGTTGAAGATTCTAGGAGAATGAGGGCCAGGCAATTCAGGAGATATGTTAGAAGTACTTCTCCATACAAAGAGTAGTGGAAGTTTAGAACTCTCTTCCTCATATGGTGGTCAACATTAATGCAAATGTTAAATTTAAATCCAAGACAGACATTTTTTTTAATTAAGCAACATATCAAGAAATGCAGCCCCAAGGCAGACATATGGAGTCAAGTCAATGATCAGCCCTGATCTTACTGAATGAGGAAGGCAAGATCAAGAAGCTGAATGGCAACTTCTGTTCCTATGCTCCAAGCGAAAGGAAGAGGGGTGGAAAAATATAAGGGAATGTCTGTGATAGTTAAGGGGAGGTTATTTGACGAAAGGTCTCAATCTAAAGAAGAATAAAACAAGGAGTGAACCAGGTGAAGAAAAAGTGAATGGGTTAAATAAAAAGTAAATGAAACAAAATGGAAGGAGAAGTTACGATCTAAACAATTGGTCTCTATTCTGTTTCATGTTTCACTGGATTGGCTTTACTAGTTTTTTTTCTTCACTTGTTCACTTTGCATTCAACTTCTCACACCCGGTCACTCTCACCTCAACTGGACACGTATTTTGTTTCCTTATTAAGCACTCTTTATCTGTCAATCTATGTTTAATTTATGCACATATACACCCAAGTCTCTCCACTCCTGCAGAGACTGTTCAGAATTTCCTTCAATTTACATTCTGTATGCTTTGTTCCAAAGTGTATCATCTCATACTTTTTCACATTGACTATCTGCTACCCTTCTGAAGTATACACTGTCCTCCTCACTGTTTACAATTCTCCCAACTTTTGTGCTGATGACAAACTTTGCAATTGTCCTTGACACAAGGTATTGGTCATTTACACATATCAGGAAAACCACAGATCCCAACACTGATCCATGGGGAACCCCAGTGCAATCCGTCCTTTAGCCTTAAAAATAACAATTGAATCATTATTCTCTGCTGTGAGGTGGAGTCACTTAACCCAAAAAGGTAACTGATTTCTCTCCATAGATGCTACCAGATCTGCTGAGGTTTTCCAGAAATTTCTGCTTTTATTTCTGATTTACAGCATCCACAGTTCTTTCAGTTTTCAATCATTACTCTCTATTTCCTATTACTGATCCAATTTCGCATTCATTTTGCTTCTGCCCCACTTATCCCATAACCTATAACTTTCATCACAATCTGTTCTGTGGCACAGTATTGAACACATTTCAATCCTATGTTACCTCTTCAAAAAATCCAATTTAGTTATAAGACCATAGGAAATGAGAACAGGAGTAGGCCATTTGGCCCTTTGATCATGCTTTGCCGTTCAACAGGATTACAGTTAATGCAACATTCCTCACGTCCATTTTCCTGTTTTCCAGCTAACCAGCTAACCATTAAGGCCCCTGCTAATCGAGAACATCCCTCAGCCTTAAATATAGTTAGACACATTTTTTACCCGTAACAAATTTACGCTGATTCTTTCAAATCAATAACATTGTTCAATGCATCTATTAATTCTATACCAAATAACTATTTCTAGAACTTTCTGAACCACTGAAGTTAAACTGACTGACCCTCAATTGCTGGACCGATCTTTACAATTTTCTTTTGAACAATGGCATGATGTCTACGATTTTCCTGTGGCATTACCTTCAAATCCATAGAAGGTTGAAAGGCTATTGCCAGTCCCTCTGCAATTTACACTTTCATTTCCTTTAATATCCTTGGATGCATCTAAACCTGGTTCTGTTTCTGTATCAATTTTAAGCAGTACAGTTTATTCAACATCTCTGCTTTATCAATTTTAAACCCTTCTCGTGCCCAAGTTTCCTCCTAAATCACAATGGCCTGGACAGCGTCTGCCTCATAGTTAAAGACAGATGCAAAACACTAATTTAACATCTCAGCTATGCCACTTGCTCCTTCTTCTGGTCCCTAATCAAACTTCTTCCTCCTTTTCATATGATTTTATGATCAATGTACTTAAAGACTTTGGGATTTCCTTTGTTCATTGTAAATCTTTTCTCTTAATATTGTACCTCTTTGCTTCTCATATTTACTTTTCTCATAACCCTTCTGAATGCTCGCTGTACACTTTAGTTCCTTACATACTAGCCTAAAAGCTGTTGCGTTAGTCAAAATGAAGTGAAATGATTAAATAAAACACGCATGAAGCCTACTCTAGCAAAAGATTAATGGTTAGGTGAGGACCTAATGATTAAAAAGATCACGGGTCTTAACGTCTCTGTGTTTTGCTGAAAGGGTGTACATGTGTTTAAAATCGAGGGTTGTAAACTCAGCCGCGATAGGTGAACTGTTGCAGAGGGTCAGATGAAGTTCTGTTTAAAACAAATCAGGACATCAGATGTGATCCTGTTAACTGTCAGCTAAACAAAGAGTGCTTGATCACTGAATCGTACTGTCTAAATATCATCACAGAAGCATAGATTCCCTTCAGTGCAGAAAGAGGCCATTCAGCCCATCAAGTCTGCATCGACCCTCCAAAGAACATCTCACCCAGACTCACCCTGTCCCCGTAACCCCACGTTTACTGTGGCTAATCCCACCCTGCCTGCACATTCCTGGACACTATGGGCAATTCAGCATGGTCAATCCACCCTAACCTGCATATCTTTAGGCTGTGGGAGGAAACCCATGCAGGCACAGGGACAATGTGCAAACTCCATACAGATAGTCACCCAAGGATGGAATCAAACGCATGCCCCTGGTGCTGTGAAGCAGCAGTGCTAAACACAGTGCCACCATGCCACCCTACACGGTGACACAGTGGTTGATTATATGGTTGACTGGATGACATGAAAGGGGTAACAGTCTGAGCAAGCTCAGGCAGAGGTCAAAGTTCATTTTAAAAATAAAAAAAGCCTCTTTCCAGAGAAAACAAGCAAGTCCTAATGGATAATTTATTACCTAACACATTTCGTATTTTCATTTTTAACCTGACTTCCACTTTGAGGGCAGGTCACGTCAGGCTCTTGTTCCTGATTGTAATTCATCGAAAGTCTCAGTGAATTATAAATAATGCACATAAACCCGAGAGAGAACGCTGATAAAGCCAAAAACTATGCTAGGCTGTAGCTCCCTTGATAACATAATCACGGGTGGCAAGCTCTGATAGTTAAGGTAGTATTCAGTTGGCAAGGAATAGTGAATCAATAGAAAACAAAAGGGACGACAATAAACACAGCCATTTCTTTCTGGACATTACTTTCCTCTGTATTATGCTCTAAGGTTAATGCATTCATAAGTTTAATGAAGCTCTAAATCCAGTACAGTATCTTACTGAGGAAATGTAGCAACAAGAATCCTTCTGCCCTCCCCATTAGGATGGAATGGAATGTGTAGACTGCCACATTCCCATTCGCACTACGTACTCCCATTGTACTAAGCTCTCGAATTTGCACAAAGTTCCTAATCGCATATTCAGCACAGTCATTTTATCATTTATAATAAATTGTTAAAGACCCCTAAATTAGTGCAAACGTTCTGCTAGTGCACACTGTCCTAGACACTGAAGGAACTGAGCAGAGGTGTTTAATCAGTAAGCTTACGGCCTGCTGCAATGATCCAGAAGTGCGCTGAAGTCTCAAATAGAACCATCCACCTCTGTCTGGCTGATTTCTGGATTGCCAAAAACCCACTTGCACGCACAGGCAGATAGCAACTGCTCTCTGGGTACTCACGTTCTGTAGGCTGCGGTGATTCACACAGTGTGGATGGAGGCTCAGGCTCCTCCTGAGGCTTTGCAGGTGAGGGAGTCCTGCAAATTGTGACAGGGGACGACGGGGCAGCAGGTGAACTCAGGCTGAGGGAAAGGTCGCTCCGTGCCCGTGGCACCCGACTCCTGGCTTCCTTTTCATATTCCTCCGCCGCTAGTTTTTCCAGGTATTTATATCTGGAAAAGAAGCCCATGTAAGCTTCAGCTAGTAGTGCATTGCGTGCATTACACTGCAGACTGTCTCTCACATCCCAAGCCAGAAATACTGCCAAAATAAATGACTAAACCACACTGAAAGAAAATCGAAGAAAAGATTAAATGGCTGCGGCTCTGGTTTTACCTGCAGACGGACTGCAAGAAAACTTAAAGCACATCAATGGTTTAGGAGAGATTTTTTAAAAAAAGAATTCAGTGGGGTCTCTTCCAGTCCTTTAAGTTCTTTGATGCAAAGTGACACAAAAGCTTTCACCACCTAAACATTGCCTCGCTTCCCTGAACCTGCATCTATTCCAACAATGTGGAACTTTACGTCATGTTGGGTCTAGTCATCAAAAGCTGCTTAGGAAAAGAAAAATACATCTGTTTTGAATTTACATGGACAGTGCTTCTGAACTGTTTATTGCTGCGTGCTACCAATCGTACTCCTCAGACTTAAAAACATTGGCATTAAAATAACTCCCGGTACTCCCAGCCAAACATCTTTATATTTATTTTTACTCAGTTCTTTTTCTGATAACTATTTACACTAAAATTAAACATGTTTCTGTAAAATAGGTCGATTATAATCAACAGTGCTGAAAAACACTCCAACAAAATAAAAAGACCACAAATCCAGGATCACATTGGTAGCAATTCTCTCCGCAGCCAAGGCCCAAATTCAGCCCAGATGGATGGGGTAAAAAAAAACGTCACCACTTTGCCAGCTGTAAAATCCTTAAGTCTGGATCGTTGTAGAAGGTGAAATGTCACTTGTTGATATTGAGTGCCGTTAAAATGTACAAGAACAATAGAAGACATACTGTTTTAAACACATGCGACAGATATCTACTTGTGTTACGACCCACATTCATCCAAAAATGAGAAATTTCCTTTAGAAAAGGCAAGGTAATGCTTGGGCAAGAGAGAATTGGTGCTAGAGATGAGCAGAAACAGCTGGAGGCTGTAAAGTACCTGACACAGAATCCTCATTGGGTTCAGTGAATTTATGAGCGGGGAGGATCCAAAGACAAAACGTACCTGGCTCTGATAGTAGTGAGTAATGGAGATGAAACCCAGTAATTTCCAAAGTAGGCCAGTGCATGTTAGTTCATGAATAACACGAAGCTCCTACTGGGAGTCAGATGGGCGCACCCCTAATAATGGAAAGGGTGAGGGGACAATCTTTATCAGTGAGGCAATTAGAAACTTCACCTTGAGGTGAGAAATATAGGTTCATAATGCACTGCCAGTCACACATTATAAGTGGAACATCTGCCAATGTTTTGTTTCATTATAACACATTCCAAATTGACACAAGAAATTACACAGTATCCTGCAGGACTATCAAAGGTTTGGAAGTGTAAGGTGCAGCTTCTAAAGAGGGGGTGAGAAAGAAGATGTGCGGGTGGGGAGAATAGTTGAGGCCACAGATCAGCTTATTCAATGAGTTCCAAATTGTTTGCTGAATGATATGCCTTCAATTCCAATATTGATGTCAAGCTGGTCTTGCAGACAGCTGACACAGACATGGTGGGCTGAGTAGCCTTCTCCTGTTCTAAAACCAGTTTACCATTCCGGAAAAGGGCCCCAGACTAGTCTAACCATTTATATCACCTACAATTCAGGGATATTATCGTCTAATATAATCATTAATGTTTATGTCAATGACAAATGCTCAGTGGCCATTGCCACACTGCAATTGGAATTCAAGAATGTAGTCAAGTGTTGGTGGAGATTAGTGTCCAACTTCTGACTTTCATTACTTAAAGCTGGTTGTAATCTGGAGGTTAACCTGATGAGTTTTCTGCTAGTACGATGTTGTAATTATAAGGTTTTTAAAATTAAAATACTTTTCCGTTTAATAGCTTCAAAATGTAGCGTAAATAAAGGGGGTAATGCGATTGGTTCTGCAGTCCGATACATACTTGGCTAGTTTGATTGTCAGAAATCAAAGGAGGGTTGAGATTGTTTTCCCTGAGAAGTTGGTGTACAATACTTATATTTGGAGACAACGCCAGCAGTCCTTGCGTTTGCAACGAATAGGCTCTGAATCTCCCAAAATTCCACAAAGGCGTCAAAGATTATGGCTTATAAACAGTTGTGCTGCATTTGGTCCATTTACTTCTAAGAGAGTTAGACTCTCGAATGGCGAGTTAGCAATTCTACCTGTATGCAAGTTTAATGTGTTTCAGGGTGCTGTGGAGAAAGAGGGCACTGGAAGCTATTTTTCAGATTAGGTTACAGGCTTTCTGAAAAAAATCAACAAATCTCTCTGACTTCACAAATGGCTGCTGATTCAAGAAAGTTCTCTAATAAGTGAGAAAGGCACAACATGGTCACTCCACTTTGGTGGATGAAACAGGAAAATAGGTCAATTGGGAGCAATTAGAGTCATAGAGTCAGAGTCATACAGCATGGAAACAGACCCTTCAGTTCAACCAGTCCATGCGACCATAATCCCAAACTAAACTAGTCCCACCTGCCTGCGCTGGGCCCCATATCCCTCCAAACATTTCTTATTCATGTACTTGTCCAATTATCTTTTAAATGTTCTAACTGTACCCACATCCACCACTTCCTCAGGAAGTTCATTTCACACATTCTGTGTTTAAAATGAAGCCTCTCATTTTTTAAAATCTTTTTCCTCTCATATTAAAAATATGACCCCAGTCTTGAAGTCTCTCACCCTAGGGAAAAGACATCTGCCATTCATCTTATCAATACCCCTTGTAATTTTATAAACCATCACCCCTCAACTTCCTATGTTCCAGTGAAAATAGACCAGCCTATCCAATCTCACCTCATAACTCAAACCCTTCATTCCTGTTGTGGATTGCTTGTGAAAAGAATGCATACAAACTATACAATAAGGATGTTATGTTCTCACATCAAAAGTTGCTTATGAAATAAAAATAGCTTTTGGTCATTATTTTTGAAAAAAATGTGATAAAGATTTAAAAGGTGGAATCTTGTCTCATTTTTCTAGTTAGAAGTTTCAAGGCAATCATTATCTATGGATCACAATATCTGCATGCCTGGGACATTTTGAAAAGTTAGACCATCACTGTGCGATAGACCATCATTAAAAAACGATGAATGGAGCAAGTGATAGGTTCAGTTAGTACAAAGGTGAGAACAGTGCTATAGTTAGTCTTTGGTAGTTCTGAAGTGGGAAACATTCACAGTTCCTGGCCGCCTAAAGCACAACCATGTCACAAAATTACACTGCCTGGGAATTTCCTCAGACGTGGCCCAACATCACCAATATACCTTTGGCACAAAAACCATGGAAATCTTGTTGTCACTTTCCACAGCAATTTTTGAGGCAGTCAGCTTAATACAGTTCTATGTTTGATGCAATCAGGAGAGATAAAATTGATTTCCTTCATTCATTATTTGAATTTCAAACGAAGCTATGTTATAGACTCTCAAAGAGGTATTCCTTAATCCTGCAGTCCATGTGAAGGCATCCCTAGTGGCCAGTTCTGGAATGACACCACGATGTTAATCCAAAGCAACAGAGCCACAAAGATTATGGAAAAATGTTAACTGCCCATAAAGTTGATTAGCTTCACCAAAATATAATGACGACTTTCCAAATGAACAAATAATTTGCGTGCACTTCTAACAGAATAGGCAAACCTTTCTTCTCTTGCCAGCCTTTGTTCTTCTCGTTTTTCTATATATCCCCGACTAAAAAGACAGAACAGAGATAGAAAAGCAAAGAAATTAAGTGACAGAGATCAGAGAAGTTACAGGAGAAAAAGAGAGAGAGAGTGGGGTCAGCAAATATTCATTTCCAGCTATTACTTCAAAGTCAGAATTCTACCTAAAAAAACTTCCAGGATTAAAGGTTATGTGAAGAATTCTTTGCACCAAAACCAAGACAGGATTTCTACACAAAAGGATGATGGCTATAGAGAGCTTGCAACAGAGGCGATATTGTCCTCAAACACAGCGAACTAAATTCCAAGATGACATAGGTCTGTATCTTCATCAGGATCCAGACTTAAATTTGTGCAATGCTGAGTAAGCAAAATAAGCCATCTCATATGGATCAATAAGGCAGATCGAAGGTAGAACAGACAATACACAAATAATATCGATCTTGATGTTGAGAACAGAAATGAAATCAGCAGAGCAACACATTTTAACTAAAGGGTGCTTAAGGTCAGGGAATAATGGTAAATATGAGCCATTGATTATTGCGATGGGCAGAATTTTATGAAACGGGGATGTATGTATTGAAATGAGAGGCTGGAGAAAGTCACTTAGTAGGTTACAGCAAAACAATATATGGTGTGCTGAGAACCAGAATGGTGTCCGATTTAATCAAATCCAGAGTGAGAACTGAGCTTAGCAACAACAGAATGGTGGGACATGGGATAATTAAAGGCTGTTGGATTCTGAATTGAAGCACAGCACTAGAGAAGTCAATTCAACTGCTCAAAGAAACAGGTTGTTTCAGCAGCCCCAGAAAAATGCAGGAGCACAAGTGGGAGATATTGTGGAGAGAGATAGAAGTGACTTTTATGACAAACACCACAGGTCAAGTAGCCTGAGCTAACTAGCAAATCCAACAATAGGGGCAGCGAGGTAACTCTCAGACTATTTACCCCATGCAACATTTGTAGCAAAGGTTTGATTGATCAATGTGAAGGAATCAATGTTGGTTGTAAGTGGAATTTTGGCCCTGATTTTGACTAGGGTAGGGTATGGGTATGTGGATTCACAGCAAATGAAGGACAGACCGATTCAACAAGGTCTTAGCTGTTTTAACTCCCAGGCCTTATTCAAAGACAGAGAGCAGGCTTCTGACCTGGAATAGCAGAAAAATCACATGGCCTGTAGGTTGCTGCTTGACACGAGTTGGTTTTTTTTATAGGGAGAGGGGGTGGGTGGGAGAGCATTTTATTTGGGGCCTCACATTTGTGAGGAATTTCTGGGGGCTTGGATCATCTCTCCACAGCCTAACTCCACACAAGAAAAGTAACAAGAGAAGTGCTTAGGACCCTTCTAGCACCCCCTCCCCTTCATCTGGCTGCTTAGTGGTTTCAACAGTGGACGTTATTAGTTAAAATCAGAGACCCTTCTGATGACGACATCAGGATTCCACATGTACACAAAAGACCCAATATACTTTGCACAAACACCTTACCTGCCTGCTCAAAAAAAAACACAGGATTAATTTTGGAATGCTGAGCCTCTGGCAGTTTTACTGATGGTTTTTCTTGTCCTGCAGTCCAGTCTGTGCTCAGGCTCCTAAAGACTATTAATACTTGGGCACCTTGCAAAAAACAGCAATTTTTTTTTTATAAAGCTTCACAATAAATATAAACTTTAAGCCTAATTATATGGAAACCTCTCTGCTGGTTGCTATCTGGATGGAATCAGGCTTGGGTTGGAATGGAAGTGTGATGAAGTGGATGGGAAGGGGAGTTCCAACAATTGAAGAATTCATATCCTCCTAGTTTACCATGTTTCCCAGCAGAAATAATACTGTATCTATCCTACAGAATCATTCTATCATTTTAAAATACCTCAATTAGAATCAGCCTTTGAGCTTCTATGTTCGAGGTTTCTAGTAACCCTGGGCAGCAATTTTTGTTTGGGTTGGGACCCTGGAGTCGGGGTCAAACGTCGTGCCAACCCTACATGGGCAGAAGTCCCCAGGCATCAATTTTGGATGGGTCACTGAAGGAAAAGCTAATAAAACTGGCAAATGAGACATACTGGTCTGACTTGCCTTGTAGACTACAAGGTGGAGGATCTGCACAACCAGTGTGTTCACTTCCAGGTATCACTGTGATCTTTTTGCTGGTTTGACCAGAGGCCATGTTCCCCAGCTAATTAAGGAAGGCAGGCAGACTTTCGATGCTGGAAAAGCTGACATGACAGCCTGCCATCACAGAGAAGAGAAAGACAGGGTGCCTCCATCTCATAGCACCTTTAAAACACTTCAAATTAAATCAGGCCACCCTTGCTAAACCACTAATGTGGAGGAGAAACCTGTTGATACAGTAGGCTGTGGCTGCAGGACGGGGGTGGAACTGACATCCTGATCTGCCACCAGGATGCCACCTCCATTCACCTCGTGGGTGGTTAGCTACTTGACACCAATCTCGTCTTCCCAAAACTGGGTTGGAAGCAGGACAGTGTCGGAGACCAGCATGTTCCCTGGCAACTTAAAACTGTGCACCAACCATGTCAAATCCGATCCCTTCCGCCTTACAAGAAAATTCTGCATCTGGTCTCTTTCCCCAAAGATGGAAGGCTGTAATTTTTCCCCAGTCCAACACCAAAATTCCTGAATTGAACGCTTTGGAAGATTATCACTAATGCAGCTACAGGTTTCTCACCTCCTTTCTGTACTCTGGGGTCAAAACCATAACGTCTGGAGATTTTTAAAACTTTTAATAAATCTAATACATTCCTCCCCTTGATTTATTTTTCATTTCCCTGGTGCTGTTGATGTTTTGACCCTCTTTCTCTGTGAAGATGTACACAAGTACTCATTTAACAAGTCTGCTATTGTTGACTGCAGTATCACCCAGGCTTTTCTTACCCACATTTCCCTTAGCCACCCTCCTCCTCTTAATGTATTTAAAGATTTTACAGCTGGATTTGCTATCCCTTTCAAGTTTTTATCATATTTTTGCAGCTTTTAATACTTTCCTTGTGTTCGTTTGTTGCCTTTTATAGAGCTTAGAGTCTGCAAGATTTGCACTTTGCTTTGCGTTTGTCTATGCTTAGTACATTCTTGACATAGAATCCAAGCCAACTGTTCCTTCCTCCCATAAGCTAGTCACTTTATCTTTGTTCAAACCCTAGCTAAGACTGGCAAATTACCACCTGGAAAACAGCCAAGAGCCTCAGCTATAGCTGGGATTTCAAAAACAGAAGTGCGGTGTGCTAATGTCACTTTACTGCAAATTGACAGGCACTTTGAAAATTATGAAGCGTTGTCATGCGAGAGAAACTAAGCTGTGTTCAATGATTCCAAGCTCCTTTTGTCTGCCCACCGTGTCTCATCACAGCATCTTACTTGAATCGGTTTCTTTCTTCACGTTCTATCCGTTGTAGTCTCTCTTCCCTCTCTTGACGCCGTTTCTCTCGCTCTGCTGCCAGTGACTCTTGATGCTGTCTGTATGAAGAGGAGAGGAGACCTCCCAGCACTGGCCTGTGAATCAAATAGACAGAAGAAGCTATGTACAGAAAAGTCTCACTTTTTTCCACTTGCATTGAATGGTTTTTTAAAAAATATTTAATCTACAATTATGATACTGCAGCCTTTACTAATTTTCTGTTATAATCCCACGAAAAGCTATGGTACAAACATTACTTACTGAACCCAGCAGATTGTTGCAAAATTCTGGCTATTGTGTAGATATCAAGGGTTGATTAGGTTTTTTGCTGTAGCATTAGAAGGAATCTTGAATGACCAGCTTACACAGCATCCAAAGAACAAAGTCCTTGTTTTTGGCAACAACCCTAAGTGCAACATCAGAGCAGAGTCCTAGGGTTGAATACCTGATGTAACAATATTTCTGCTCCCATTTGGGATGACCTAAGCTTTGAATTGAAATCCGCAAATCGACACTTTCATCAATGCTATTTATGAGGAACTGAAGCACAAAAGCTTCAGGTGGAAGTTTTCATAGAGTCATACAGCACGGAAACAGACCCTTCACAAGATGCCGAACATAATCCCAAATTAACCTAGTCCCATCTGCCTGCTCCTGGCCCATATCCCTCCAAACCTTTCCTATTCATGTACTCATCCTAATGTCTGTTAAATGCTGTCATTGTGTCCACATCGGACCACATCCTCAGGAAGCTCATTGCACATGCGAACTGCCCTTTGTGTAAAAAAAAAATTTGCCCCTCATGTCTTTTTTAAATCTCTCTCTTGCCATCTTAAAAGTGTGCCCCCTAGATTTGAAATCCCCCATCACAGAGAAGAGACAACTACCATTACTATATCTATATCCCTCATGAATTTGTAAACTTCTGTAAGATCACCTCTCAACCTCCTACACTCCAGTGGAAAAAGGTCCCAACTTATCAAGCCTATCTTTATAACTTAAACCTTCCATATCTGGTAACATCCTGGTAAATCTCTTCCAAAACCTCTCCAGCTTAATAATATCCTTTCTTTCTGGGTGACCAGAAATGGACACCGTACTCCAGAAACGGCCTCACCAAAGTTCTGTACAACCTTAACATGACTTCCCAACTCCTATACTCAAAGGACTGATCAATGAAGACAAGTGTGTTAAACCTTTTTATAACCACCCTATCTATAAGTGATGCAAACTTCCATAAACTCTTCAAAACACGCTCTGTTCCATAATGCTGACGCTCAGATACTTAACCTTTAATAAGCTCCGGGTCCAACATTTGGGCAAGTTTTTCTACCATGACTGTTGGAAGTTTTGTTGCAAAGGTTCTTCAGAGGGGTGGGGACAAAATAAAAAGGGCTGCCAACCGAAGGTGAAATATTAAGAGGGGTGAGCAATACATTAGGCATGAAGAGGGAAATGGAGAGGGGAAGGATTTCAGGAAGACAATTTCAGGATATGAGCCTGGGAGGCTGAAAGCAAATCTTTCAATTGACAAGATGAAGGCAACATGCATAAAGCTTAATTAATGGGGGCTGTAGTGGTGCAGTACAGCTTCCTCCCCTCTGGACCACAAGGCAGGTTCATGTGCACCTTCCATGGAGGTGTGGCATTACATGTCTGAATAGGGTGATTAAAAATAATTAAAACTTGATTCAGAATAGTAGACAGTTCTAGGGTGTTGCAAAAACTGGAGATCGTTAGTGAGGGAGGAAAGGGCAAGAGTGTGAAGAGTTTTAAAGACTAGTGTGAGATTATAAAAACTGGAGGATCTAGTGGGCCAAGTAGCATATGACGCAAGCAGTAGTTTTGAATTGATTGATTTTTATTAAAAGTGGAGAAGGGGAGGCCAGCCAGATGATTATTGGAATAGTGGAAATTGGAATGAGTATGGTTGACGAGTGGATGGGAACAGTGATAGATGCTACAGTGCTGGTCTTTTTAATGGACAGGATATTGGGATGGACACATAGCTAAAACACAAAGAAGTCACAAACAGCGCATTCCACGGTTGAGCCCAAGACAGAGTTTGGCATGGTATAATGAAGTAGAAGGGGAGAATTTTAGACAATTTTTTCCAAAACATGAGCATGAACTGCTTCCAAGTCCTGAAGCCATCCCACTCACCCTCAAAAACAGGAGCCACTGACTTGGGATTCTGACTGGGGAACCATTGTAATTGACATGGAGGCAGTTTCCCTGCCCAATGGGCTCTTGAATCTGAAGGGCCAATTGGAAGCATTCCAGCTTGATAATGCAGTAAAGGGCAAAGGTGTGATTTTGCATTTTGGCAACTAAGTATGACAAGTTTGTCACCCCCAACTCCAACATAATTCAACCAATCACATACCAATCATCTCTAAGCAGCTACAGGCCAAGTTTAGGCATATTTCTCAGCCTATCACAGACCTAGACACTGGGTCACCAGATGTTGTGTGCCAATGATTTTGGTTGAGGCTTAATCTTCAGGGATCCAATTGTGGAACGTTACATTCTTCTGCTTCTCATCACGGGGTGTTTTTAGTAAGGACAGGTTTTCCGAGGCCACCCTCTTTTTGCAGTGTCTCCAATGCTCCCAAATTGGGCAGGTAGAGGCCCCTCCCAACCTGGCAGGTAGGTCACACTGGTTTTCAAGAAACTCACTCACTGGCTGGAAGCAATGAAGGTGGTGGTGAATTAAGGTCCTTTAGTCATCACTGATTGACCACTCAAGGTTATTAATTGGTGGCAGGCAAGGTTTGAATTGGACGTTCCCTCTCAGAACATAAAAGAAGAAGAAGTGGTGAAGAAGGAATAAATGTTTCACCAATGTTAACTCACCCAACTTTTATCCTTTCTCACCACTTCCCTGTCACTTTCAGGAATTCCACAGTATATTTCACATAAAAATGCCCTCTCACCGATTGTCTTGTTTTTCAGACAGTCACCGCAGCGAAGGGGGAAATAGAAAATCGAGACAGAAATTTGGTTCCCCCACATACCATTAAGACACAGAGTGCTACTTGACTTCTTGAAGCGTCTTGGTGTGTTGCTGGGTGCCTGCCTCTCAGCAAGTGGACTGCCCTCCACCATGTCAAGAAATTGCAAGAACTCTGTTGTCTTCTGTCAACGGCTTAACAAGGATCTTAGTGAATGTAATTTACTGGAATGGATCTTCCGACCCTTCTGGATGCGGGTCACTGGTCTCAAAACATTAACTGTTTTTTCGTCACAGATGCTGCCAGACCTGCTGAGTTTCTCCAGCAATTTCTGCTTTTGTTTGTTCCAGATCGCCAGCAACTGCAGTTCTTTTTTTGATTTTTCTTCTCATCTCAGGTGCCAACCTAGAGAACGTTTGCACCATTGCCTTCAATGCAAACATATGCTTCTCTAAATATGGAAACTAAGACAGCATGCAGTATTTCAGGTGAGAAAAGGTGAACAGAGCTGCTGTGGACTGTAAACGTGAAAGCCTATAGAAATTGCCAACTGGCATCATGTTGATGAACAAGGAAGGTAGCAAGAATCGTTAGGTAGGGACTTCTGAGGTTACAGTGGGATATTGGCAAGAGATTCTGCAGCTGTGATCAAATAGGCGACTTGTTGAAGAAAGAAGTGTTCCTGGGATGTTGGCATCACCAGCAAGGCCAACATCTATTGCCCATCCCTTGAACCAAGAAAGTGAAAGCCAACTGAGCGCAGGTATCAAAGAAAAAAGATGTGAACAAATTCAAAGGAGGAAAGTGCAGTGGGCCACAGGTAGAATGTAATTTGGAACCGGTTATGGTTGGTTAAATGATGGGGAAGGAGCAGAATCTTAACTGGATGGATATAAACAGGGTGGTGTGGAAGAGATGGGCAACATATGTTCAAAGGCTAGAGACAAAGGGAAAGGTGGAGAAGAGGCAGTGATTTCCCAAGAATGGAAGAGCTAAGGTGCTATTTTTGAGAGAACAGGACAGAATGAGGGGAGGGACAGTGGTAGAAGTAGTTTTGAAGGGACGTTAGTCAAGTGTGTAATGAAGGAAAAACATTTAATGTTGGCTATTACGAGGTATAAAATGAGGTTATGCGTTCAAATGGACAATGACTGATGTCCTGGTAAGGTCAACTTGTTTTGAGGAAATAAATGTTCCATGCTAAAGGATCTGGCAGAGTTTTCTTTTTAAAAACAGACAAGACTGGGGCTCTTTCAAGTTTACCAATGTAGTTTTACTGGAAATCATACTTTCTCACAAGCCAGAAGCCCAGCCAAACTCACCCCCTCAATGATACAATTAAAACTGCAGTCTGCATTACTGTGCCATTAACATGCATCATAACCATGGGGAAATTATTACACAACTTCTCTCTCCCCTCCGGCTGAGACAAGGTGTTTAAACTAGAAGACATTATTCCTTTAGCACAGAAGAATGTAGTCAATCTCGGTGGGTTGACGTGATTTCTGAAGCTAAGTAGATAAGACTGTGCGTCATTTTGCAATTTTATCACAGCCTACTGAAGTAACTAAATACAGTTTATAACATTAAAACAAACTGCTAACTTAAAGGGAGTACTGGGTGGCTCTAACTAAAACTAAGGATATCTATTTCAGCTTCAGAACCACCGAGGGGGATGAGCTGGATGCATCTTTGAGCAGTGATGTTAAGATTTATTATAACTAAAACATATTTCAAGTCAGGGGAGGAGAATGTTGGCAGTGATAAGCTGGCAACTGCACACAATTGGTATTTTTTTAAACTGAGGGTGAAAACATGTTAAAAATTGTGATGTTAAGAACTGCCCTGTGCTGTACTCCAACGGACTGTATGCAGCATCCCAGACAGAGTCACGTGTTTTGCCCATTGGAAGCGTTTCTGAAGAAGGGTCCCGACCCGAAACGTCAGCTTTCCAGCTCCTCTGATGCTGCCTAGCCTGCTGTGTTCCTCCAGCTCCACACTATACTTAACATAATCCTGGAAATCAAATCCCAGGACTAACATGATAGAAATTGTGCTTTTCACATAAAAATTCACTTTACAATGTCTACTGAAAACTTCCACCAGCAAAATTACAACATACAGACTTTAAAAGTATGCTA